TGACACTGAGTCTCACTGGGTAGCTAGCTATGGCTGGCCTGAGCTAGATGAACCTGGCTGGCTGGAACTCACAGAGCTCTAAACGCCTCTGCCTCTGGGGTGCTGGAACTAAAGTCCCGTGTGCCATTACCGCCGGAAGAATAACTGCTTTTGTCACGTGCATCATCATTACTATAAACATGGCATCTTTTTCTTAGTTGACCTAGGTGATGGGGATTATCACAGTGGGGGGGGGGTTGGGCAGTCTATGGGGCAGTGGGACCTTGGCTTTTTGGAGCTCATTCCCCCTGGAGGGATACCTTGCTCAGATTAAAGGTGTGTGGGGTGTGTGTGGTAGGTCCTGCCCCAAATGATGTGACAGACTTTGCTGATTCCCCATGGGAGGCCTCACCCTCTGTGAGGAGTGGATGGGGTGGGGGGGATGAAGGGTTGGTGGGGGAAGTGGGAGGGTGGGAGGAAGAGGGAACTAGGATTGGTAGGTAAAATAAGATCGTTTAAAGAAAAAAAAAAGAAGAACGTGAGTGATTTTTTTCCCCCTCTTCCTGGTTTCCTGGATATTCAGAAACGTCCAGAGCAAACACTCCTTCTTGTAACAAATAGCTAATGAGTGACTACCAAAGGACAGGGAGTGCTGTTCTAGAGGCTTCAAGTATAGCAGGAACACACCAAACAACCCTCCCCACATCACCGCCTGCTTTCTGTGTCCTTGAATCTTTCCTCATGAGCTGGTCAGATTCCTCGAAGAGGACTCCTCTAGTTTCCCATTTGGTGAATAAGTACCTGGGAGGCAAAGGCCTGTCTGCTGGTCAGAGAGTGAGGGCGCCGAGCTCCCCATACATTCGCTTACGCTTCCTGCGGAGGTGGCGAACTCTTGTTTGATCCTGTCTAGGGAATAACCCCTTCAGTCTTTGGGCTAGAAACTTAAAGAAGACCCAAGGCTTCAAGGGCTCTTACATCACTTTTAGAATCCTTTAAATAAAAAATATGCTTACTAATCTGTGCGGTTCTGTGAGTGTATTGTGCGTGCTCACGGGACTGCCACGGCAAGTGTGTAGAGGCTGTAGGACAACTTGTGGGAGTCTCTTCTCTCCTGTCGTGAGGGCTTCAGGCCTTGCCGACAGGTGCCTTTACTCATTGAGCCATCTCACTAGTCCCTTAAAATCTTCTAATCTTTTTCTCAACTTTTAAAACTATTGTTTATTTTATATGTGTGAGTGTTTTGCCCGCATTTATGTTTGTGTACTGAGTGGAGAGGGTATCAGATCTCTTGAAACTGGAGTTACAGACGGTTGTGAATCACCATGTAGATGCTGGGAATAGAACCTGGGCCCTCTGGAAGAGCAGGTAGTGCTCTTAACCATTCGGCCATCTCTCTAGCCTTCATAGCTTTGTTTAATTTCTGTTCACGGCCCCTGTACAGCTTATACTTCCAGAACTCACAAGAAGGTGCCAACCTCCCCAATTTCTGGCGCTTGGGAGGAGTACAGAATGAATTCCGGGCCAGCTTGGAATATAGTGAGATCTTGTTCCAAGAAATTAAAAAAAAATCCTTATCATTATAAAGGCATTCTAGGATGAAATAAAAGTAGATCTGAGTTCATCTTCACTAATTACTTAACTAGTCAGTTCTTTATATTAACTTTAATTCTCTGCTCTTCCCACTCAAACCCTCATTTACCCTTTGAGTTAAATATTTGAATAAAATATCTGTTTTCACTGCTGATAGATTATTTTATTTAAGAAGGATTTACTTGTTTTTTTACTCTTTTTCTTTGGCCTTTTGGGGGCCTGCCACCCTGCTCCCATATAAATACTGGGAGACTTATTCTTACTCATGTGTGCCTTAGCTTGGCTTGTTTCTAGCCAGCTTTTCTTGACTTAAATGATCCCTTCTATCTTTTGCCTCTAGGTTTTTACCTTCCCCTATTTCTGCATGCCTTTTCTTTCCTTCTTACCCTGTGGCTGGCTGTGTTGCTGGGTAGCTGACCCCTCTCCCTCTCCTCTCATTCCTTCTCATGGTCTTCTAAGTATTCCCTCTGCCTGCCAGCCCCAGCTATCATTTCCCTGCATTGCTATTGATCATTCAGCTCTTTAGTAGACCAAGCAGGTATTTTAGACAGGCAAAGTAACAGTCAAACAAATGCAACATAAAAGAATGTTAACACATCTTTGCATCATTAAACAATGTTCCATGGCATAAATCTTTAACTAATAGTCTACAACAGCTCACTGTTGCAGCCTTTGTGGCTTAAAATTTTAAAATCATGACAGGTATATATATCTGTGCACCAAGTGTGTGCCTGGTGCCCAATGAAGCCCCAAGACGTTTTTGAATTCCAGGAACTGGAATTACATATGGTTGTAAACCAGGTTCTGGGTGCTGGGAATTGAACTTGGGGTCAGTTGGGTGCTGGGAGTTGAGCAGACAGTGCTCTTAATCACTGAGTTATCTCGGCAGCCCCAACACACACACACACACCCCACAACATCACATCTCAAACTAGCTCATTGTGATTAAGGATGAGCTTAAACTTCTGATTCTCCTTCCTCTACTATCTGAATGTAGGGTTTGCAGGCTTGTGCCAGCATGCCAATGTATGCAGTGCTGGGAATTGAACCCGGTGCTTCTTGCATGCTTAATAAGCATGGTACCAACTGAGTGACATCAGCCTAACTTTAAAAACTCTAAGTAACAACAAACACAGCTTTTCTCAGCAGTTCGAAAATGGTGATATGTGCTTAACACATTTTCAAATGATGCATAGATTTACATGCCATCCATATGTCAAATACTACACAGCTCAAAAGAATGAAGTAGATTTTTATGTTCTGGTATAAAAGTCTTTAAGGCTGTAACAGAGTATGAGTGCAGCGTTCATTTATGTTTAAAGCACGTGTGCAATTTTTGCAATGGTGGCTGCATCCTGCAGGGAACGGCATGACTAGGAGACAGGTATAGAAGAACTAAGGGAGGCTTAGCTTTCCTCAGGTACCATTTACATCTTCTGAAATTTATACCAAATTCTTACATTACTTTTCTTTTAGGTGACAAGTCTTAATAGCTAAGTCTGGCCTGGGACTTGAAGCCTCACCATCCTCCTGCCTCAGCTTTAACTTAACTTTTTTGAGATTTATTTTATTTTTATTCTGAGTGTGTAGCTGTTCTGCCTGTGTATCTGTGCACTATGTGTGCAGTGCCTATGATGGCCAGAAGAGGGCACCAAGGAACCCTGGATTACAGACCATTGTTAACCACCCTGTGGGTGCTGGGAATTGAACTCATGACGTCTGGAAGAGCAACAGTCAGTGCTCTTAACCACTGAGCCATCTCTCCAGCTCCCTCCTACTTATTATTTATTAAGTATTTATTAAGTACTAATAAATAGTTTTGTGATGTTGAGATGAGGTCTAATTATGCAGTCCAGGCTGGACACAAACTTGTGATTATCTTTCCTCAGCCTCCTGAAGGTTACAGGTGTGTCTCATTGTGTCTCATTTAGATAGACTCCTCCTCCAGCCTGAGTGTTCTCTCCACTGATGTCCCTAACTGGAAATTCTTGTGTGTGATGAATCATCCTGCATTGCTTAGTGAGCATAGAGACAGGGTCTCACTGTGTAACCCTGGCTTGCCTGGAATTCACTGTGTCCATCAGGCTGGCTTTGAACTCACAGAGATCCACATGCCTCTGCCTCCCAAGTGTGGGGATTAGAGTGATGTGCCACCACACCCAGCCCACGTTCTATTTTTAAAGAACTCTCTCGACCTTCTTTTCTTGGAATTACCATTTTGTGTTTTCACTTCTGTTTTATTGAGCTCTTTGGAAAGCACGGGGCGTGCAGTCTCGGACAGGAGAGGGATGAGCAGCAGGGAGAGCGCAGAGGAAGGAGTAGATGGGAAGGAGCGCAAGGCTCCCTCTTTGTAGCTAGCCTACATCGAAGTGCAGATTCATCTGAATTGGCGAACTTCTAGCAAGTGCCACACGCTCCTGTTAAAGCTTCCACATTTCACATCAAATTCATCTAACATAAGGACATCATTTAGTTAAGAGCCCAGGTTACTCGAGATGCAATGAGTTGGGTATGTGTGTAAAATTTTAAAGCTAGACTTGTGGACCTGAAAAGCCTTAGAAATCGACTTGTCCAGACATCAGAGTCCATAAAACAGGGTCTTGCCTACGATTACAAGGTGTGTGTGTGTGTGTGTGTGTGTGTGTGTGTGTCAGGGAAAAACGTGAAGAGGTGACTGATGTCAAGTTCTGTCCCTTTTGTGACTGTGGTATGGGGCCCTGACTGATGGAAGTTTGCCACACTGGCAGAAGCCTAGTAAGATAATCAGAAAGCTTAAGAAGCCTACAAACCTCAACTTCCCCTTACCCAGCCGGCTCCACAAGAAACCAACTGCCCTCACCCATCCTTTCACAATAGGGAGAGGAAAAAAGAAAACATAGACTGCAATACAGAGTTCTCACTTTCCCCAGGGTATTTTCAGTCAATTCTCTACTATCTGCTGTGTCCATTTGGAGTAACCATAGAGATATTCTGCCCTCAGTCTTATTTCCTCCTTCGACTCTTAAAAAATCTTGATTTGAGGCACCCCGTTTCTCCCGGCGTTCGGACTCTGCTAGTTCGGCCTTTCCTCTGGCACTTGCGTGCGGAGCAAGGACACGTTTTAAACGAAACGAGTTTTAAGCACCGGGATCAGTCGGATCCACCCGCTCCGGCGCTTGCCCGTGGGCGTGTGGCACTCCACCCCGTCCAGACTACAAGTCCCAGGAGCCCGCGCAACCACGGTGCCTCTGCGAGCGCTTCCCTCACTCCCTCCGCGGGGGAGCGGAGAAAGGTTCTGGCCGGCGCCTGGCGCCCTGGCTGCTTGCTCTGCGGCGGCGGTGACGGAGGCTGGAGGCCCGGCGGAGTGCCGGCGGGGGCGTCGCGAGGCGGATTCCGCCTTCCCTGGGCGCTAGGGGGCGGGAGGAGGGGGCCGGGTCAGCGGCGCAGCCAGCAGCTAGCCGCGGAGGCAGCGGGCTGAGCGATGGAGGCCGACGGGCTGCCGCGGGCCGGCGAGTCCGTGGCGGGCCCGGGCCCGGGCGGCGGCGGAATGATCCGCGAGCTGTGCCGGGGCTTCGGCCGCTACCGCCGCTACCTGGGGCGGCTGCGCCAGAACCTGCGCGAGACCCAGAAGTTCTTCCGCGACATCCACTGCTCGCACGGCCACAGTTGTCCCTCCTCCCCCGAGGGCGGCGGCGCGGCCGAGCTTGGCCCTGCCGGAGACGTCGCCGAAGCCCTGCTGCCGCCGGGTAAGGAGGACAGGCCGGGAGGAGACGGGGAAACCGGAGGGTGGCACCCGGGTCAGCAAAACAAGCCCCGGGGTGGGGGGGGGGAGGCGGCCGCGCGCGGGGCCTGCGCCGCGGGGATCCCAGGTGGGGTGGGGGGACGTCCCCGGGGAGAGGTGGCGAGCGGCTGCAGGCCGGGCAGCAGAACCCGAGCAGGGTGGGAAGTGTGCAGTCTGGGGGGGCCGTGTCCCTCCAGTTAGGCATTAGGTGTCCCTGGAGTCCCCGGACGCCTGTGCACTGGGATGTGTGTGTGCGCGCGGGGTTTGGGTGTGTAAAATGCTTGTAATCCAATCAAGAGGCAGCCCTGCGAAGAAGATGCCCTCTAAATAGGATCTGGAGTCGCCGAAGGAAAAAGATAGCTAATGAGTGCCAGCAGTTAATTGGCCAGAGGTGTTGCTTGCGCTTATGGTCAAAGAGTTAAGGAAGACTTGTTGTTGTTGTTGTTGTTGTTGGAGGTGGAGTGGGGCGGTGTTGAGCCCTTGAAGAACTTGTCCTTCTTGACTTGATTCCCCCCCCCCCCCCCAGGATGTGTCAGAGGTCCCAAATCGCTTTAAATACTGCAAGATCTTTGATCCTCCTTAATTACTTTCAAACTGCAATTGGAGGGTAACTGGAGGGAAACCTGTGCAGACGTCTCCTTAGGAAGTTGATGGAACAGAGAGGCCATTGGCATTCCACATGGGTACGGTTTGTGGACAACATAATAGCAGATAGGTGCTTGGTTTTATTTACTGATTCACAAGCCGCCATGTGGGTTAAAATAATGTCAGGAGTGCATTAAAAAAGTGCCATGTCCCATGCTCCATCTCACGGATTCTGGTTGTGTAACCGGTAGGTGGGTCCTAAGAGTCTGGTTTAGCACTCAGAGATGCTGGGATCTGGTACAGGTGTTTTAGTAACACTTTCAGAAATATGAATTTAGATACTGCTGACAAATTTGCGTGTAAGGTGAGTTGGACTCCACACTCATGTGCATGATTAGTATCTTAGGTTTGTCTGAGGCTTCCAAAGGGGGAATTTAAAGATTATTGTTCAGGATAGCAACTTAAAGAACCCTTGTTTTAGGCCAACCAGATAGCTCAGCCTGTAAAATGTACTTGCTACCAAGTCTGAGCTGATCAGGAGAGAACCTGCTCTTGGTCAGCACACCACACACACATGCACACATAATGAATATGTTTACTTATTTTTGGTTTTCCCAAGCAGGGTTTCTCTGTGTAGCCCTGATTGTCTTGGAACCCAGGCTGTAGACCTTTAACTCACAGATATCCACCTGCTTCTGCCTCCCAAGTTCTGGGATCAAAGGTGTGGGATACCACCGCTGGGCTGAATATATGTATTTTTTTTTTTAAAAAAAGATCTTTTGTTGTTGTTATCAAAGTAGGAAATCTCTGTAACAGCCCTGGCTGTACTGGAACTTGCTCTATAGATCAGGCTGGCTTTGAACTCACAGAGCTCTGCCTACCTCTGCCTCCAGAGTGCTGGAATTAAATGAGTTTTGCCACCACTGCCAGGCAGATTACCTCAGGAGACAAAGAGCACTTGCTGGACACAGCCCGAGACTTGCTGTCTAGAAGTGCTTTGAAGCAAGTTCCTCCATCAGAAGACCTTCCTGTAGTTTTACTTTAAAAGCTCTCTGTTGCTGCTCTTACTTAAAAATGACTGTTAAAAATGACTATTTCAGAGTTTTTTTTAAAATCAGAATTAGATGGAGAGTTTCAAATTTTCAAGCATCTTGGTTGGCCTTGTTTTCTTTTTCTGGAGACAGGGTTTCTCTGTGTGATAGTGCTGGCTGTCCTGGAGCTAGCTCTGTAGACCAAGCTGGTCTCGAACTCACAGAGATCCGCCTGCCTCTGCCTCCCCAAGTGCTGGGATTAAAGGTAGGAGTCACCACTGGCTTGGGGCTTTTGTTTTCTTTAAAGGCAAGTGTAAGACATACAAAGAACACCTTTGTGTTTTTGCTTAATTGGCTTTTCTGGTTGACTGCAGCAAGATCTAAGTTTTGCATCCTTAAACCTTTTTTTCTCATCCTCCTTTGGAATGTGCCCATCTTAATAAAATTCCAGGAGGACACAAATGACAGGATGGGGGAACAATTTGATTTTGTTCCATACCATGCTTCCCAATCATCGGTAGGGTTTTATGTTTGATGGGTGCAACTGCACCAAAATTGTAAGCATCTCTTTCTGTGTCTGGTTGAAGGATGCCGTCATCCCTGTTATTTTGGAAAAGGTGTTAGAAAGTAAAACCACTCCATAAAGGACAATCAGCTCCTTGTGCTGGTTGGAGCTTTTTGGTAAGGTCAGAGTCACTGGGAGGCTGTCTCAGCTTTCTTTTGTGAATGTTGGTTTCTGATTAATAGGGACTCAGAACATGGAGGAAAGGGCACTCAGTTCTCAGCCTAACAAGCCCCTCTCAGTTTATTGCAGTGTGTGGTATTTGAGTAACTGAAGACCAGGGCTAACTATACAGTGAAGTTGTTGGACTAAAAATAATAACAGCAATTTTTAATATTTCTTTATATACCATTTATCATAACATATGATACCACTTTTTAGTTTGTTTGTTTTTCAAGACAGGATTTCTCTGTATTGCTTTGGTGCCTGTCTTGGAACTTGCTCTGTAGACCAGGCTGGCCTCAAACTCACAGAGATCTGCCTGCCTCTGCCTCCCAAGTGCTGGGATTAAAAGTGTTTCACACCAATGCCCTGCTTACTTTGTTTTTAATTTTACTTTCAACCACAGAGAACTGGGAAGAATTCTAAAATAATGCTCTCTCTTAGTTTTGATAGGTATATATTCACTCAAGTCCATGTATAGAACATAAAATAGCTCCAGTATTTTACAAGTGAAATGTGGATGGAAGGCCAGGCTGGCCGGTGTGTGCCTGTAATCCCAGCCCTGGAGCCAATTAGGAGGATCATGGTCAGGAGGGTCTCTGTTAAATTCAGGGCCAGCCTGGGCTTCGTAGGGAGTTCCCGACTAGGCAGGTTTACTTAGCAAAGCCCATCTCACAACCCCTCCACCCCCAAAACACTAGAAAGGAAAAGAAAAAAGTAGATGAAATTAGGCATGGCAGCACGTGCCAGCAACTCTAGTGCTCGGGAGGCTGAGATGGGAGAATTGTGGGTCAGCCTGGGCTGGGCAGTGGTGTTGGTGCTAGTGACATGGATTAAGTAGAACTCTTCAAATACTGTGGTTTTGAGAGTAGCTTTGCCTGTACAAAGAAAACTGTACATTGCTGTTGGAGTCATCTCATGTGGCTGTCCAGGAGAGACCCTTGATCTGTTGGGGTTTTTGTTTGTTTTTTTCTCCTGTGCTAGAGCATTCAGAAGCAGTGAGACAAAGGCTCTGAACCCTTTTTAGGCGAAGCAGGGTAGAGCATTACACAATAGAAGGAGGAAAAGTGTTTGCCTTATTTATGATCCAGTAGAGGTGCTAGCTATTGCAGCTCTCTCACAGCTCCCCACTTTAAGGAGTTGGAATGACTCATGTGTGTCTGCCTGGGCCGTTGTCATTTGTGCACCTCCCTTGGTCTTAACTGATCATGACTATGTTGTGTCACAGCCTCCTCTTCTGGAGACGGGGTTTGCCATTGTCCTTACCTCTAGGATTGTTGGGAGTTAATACTGCACTTTTAGACCAGCCTGCTAAGGTGCTGGGAAATAGCAGCTGCCTGTTGTTTTTGGTAGTCCACCGTGTGTCTGGGCCGGTCTTACGGGGCTCTGTTCTAATGATCCCTCTGCATCTCGAGTGCTAGGATTACAGGTCCACACCCAGCCCCATGGTGGCCATTACTAGATAGACATGGGAGCGTCTGGGATGTGCTGGTCAGGGTGGTACATACGGGGTTAAAGAGGCAAGGGCCTTAGGTGAGTGGGTACCAGTGTCCTCTCCCTCTCCCTCTTTTTCTCCTTTCGGTAGAGCCTCAAGATGTAGCTCAGGCTAGCCTCAACCCTGTAACCCTTTCTCACCTCCCAGAGTGAGGAGACTCTGGGTGTGTGGTACTGCCTAGTTGAGCTGAAGTTAGAGTCCATGTCCTTTGCAAAGTGATTATGTTCATGTCCCAAAGAATGATTTTCATGCAATACTCACTAGACCAGAGTGCCACGTATGAGAAGTGAGGTCTTAACGCTCATGAGCTCAGCAGCTCTTTGTGTAAGCCCTTCTGTCTACCTTGGGGCCTGAGATGAGCCATTCCAGATTGCAGTTAGGAGAGGGAGCTCAGTGCTTGCCTCATCAGGACCACTAAAGGGCCCTCTACAGGCTGGTTGCCTACTTAGCCATCACCTGACTTTGAAGGGATGGAGCTTGATGCGATCAAGGACATATGAGACTGAAGAGCTAAGCAGGGCATGCTGGTGCACTCCTTTAGTCCCAGCACTCAGGAGGCAGAGGCTCCTGATGGATCTCTGTGTGTTCAAGGCCAGCCTAGTCTATACAGAATGCTGTGGAACAGCCATGACTATGTAGAGAGAGCCTGGTTTTGGGATCTTGGGACTTGAGGCCTGACAGAGAACAAGTGTAATGGTGGTTGAGATATATGAACTCTTCCTCTGAGCTGTATAAATCAGGGTTTCTGTGGATGTCCCCTTATGTTCCTCTCAAGTCCAGACCAAAACCCTGAAGGAAAGCCATCATCGTCCTCTCCTCATTTGAAGTGCCAGTCTTATGCAGTGTACTTTTTGCCCTGTCTTGGGTAATGTGAGTGGTTTGGATGTATTCTCCAGCTCTGTGCCGTGTGGCTTTGGGAATCTCTGGGCCAGGCTCACTTTGGAATTGCGCTTCTGTTCCCTGGGGCACTGTTCTCTGGCCAGGAAGCTGGAAGTAGGGTTTCAGAACTGTTTTGCTTTTCACATGTCTAACTAATTGATGCGTCAGAATTGTTCTGAAGAATAATGTCTTGATTATGTATTCATAAAAGCCTTTGAGTTTTAAAATACATTCCTTTTTTTTTAAAGTGA